CACAGACTTGGAGATTCCCTTCCAGATATTATAAACCCGCCTATCAGGAGTGGATCCGACTCTCAGCCTCCGTTCGACAGCTGTTGCAGAAATGGGTCCAGGCAGAGTTACAAGATGGAGTGTTGTACTGATGGTCTTGTATTCCTATTGAACAGTGAAACATCTACCAGTTGGTGATCCCTCAGCAAACTGCTCCTGGAGTTTGTCAAGCTCTACATTGCAGCAACGGGCATTTTTATGTTGACCACATGGAGGCATGTGTCCAGTGATATTTCAGGCAGAGTGTAGCGGACCTGTCAAGAATGCAAGAGTTGTGCAATTATAAAGAACTCATTGAACACTTCCACTCATGATTTCAACAGCAAAGCCATTTGAACTGCTGACTGCTGTGGGCTTTTCTGGTTTAGACAGATAAAAATTAACTATGCATTAACAGATACATAGGAAACAAACTCTATGTTGAAAACATCCATTCTTCTGAGGTTTATTGTTATATTCTATTTTATATACAAGTTGAGAAAAGGGATGGTGTGATATTTTATTAAAAACCAGCAAATAGAACAATGTCACATTGTATATGTCATCAGCTATCTTTAACAGTTGCAAAACTACAACCTTGAGAAGGGAGGAATTGAGAGAGGGGGCATTCTAGGAAACGTTAAGTCTGTGGATACGTGATATGTGTGTGCATTTCAGAAACCATTATTCAAAATGGATTCTCCTGTGCCTAGATGAATAATATAGTGAATTTCTCTGTAATGTATCTACTTTTACTACCATTATTTGTCATATTACATTCAGCTGATTGCTAATAGTCCCTGTTACACTTGCACAGAGTGTCGGTGTCTTATTTAGTTCTCTTCTGGCTTTCTTAGAATTACTGGTTCTTTGGGGAAGGTGGACTATCTGCTGTTTAGAGTGTAATTGCACAGAAGCATAGGGGTTGATTTACAGTACAAAATCTGGTGTAGCTATGCATGGTAGCCAGTCAGCTTCTAACCAGGGGCAGACTGACCATTTGGAAACTCGGGCACTGTCCAAGGGCCCGGGGTCAGTAGGGGGCCCCATGAGATGCCCCTGGTACCTTTTTCATAGGTTTTTTTTAGTTTGGGCAAGGAAAACAGGGCCCCATTATCCCCTATTGCCGGGGGCCCCATGAGTTGTCAGTCCACCCCTGCTTCTAACATCAGCTGATTGGCTTCTATGCAGAGTTGCAACAGATTTTGGACTATCCGGTTTTATTAACGGCTTTTGGGCCACCCACAGTAGATTTACTGCTGCAGGCAGCCCCTGTTTGCAGGATCACGTATATATATGTGATTCCGCATTTCCGGGTAGGGGGCACGCGCGAGGTGTGCAACTGCCCACCAAGAATTCACACATTCGCCTATAGAGCCCCTAGTATCCTTCCTGATGTGCTTCCAAATCCCGACTGGCAGCCCACAAATTCTTGAGCATCCGTACTATCCCCATTCACTGCCCAACCCGGAATTCAGATGGAAACAGCAAATTTAACTACTCCCCTTGATTTTTTTAAACTGTTTTTCATGGAAGATCTGTATGGATTGATTGTGGATCAAAGCAATTTATACGCACAACAATTTATCGCTGCCAACCCAAATTAAAACCTTGCCAGACCATTCGCATGGAACCCATTACGGTTTCCAAATTTTTTTTGGGCCTAACCCTCAACATGGGCATTACTAAAAAAATTGAACTGCGGTTGTATTGGTCCACAGACCCAGATATGGAATCAAGGTGTATAAGACCCATGAGAGGGCAACAGGCTATACATATAAGTTTCGGATTTACAAGGAAAAAGATAGTCACGTGGAGCCCCCCGGATGCCCAGACTACATGGGGAGCAGTGGCAAGATAGTTTGGGACTTGGTGTCATCTTTTTTCCATATGGGGTGCCACATATATGTGGCCATTTTTATTCAAGCGTGCCACTATTTAGACATTTGTACAATCTTGGAATTGACGCATGTGGCACCGTGTGACCTAATGTGTGCCCACCATTAGAAGTGGGTGGATGCAATATATTCTAATTGTGGGCATACCACACACTATTTCTGGCAGAGATTTCTTCTCTTGTTTTTCATTCAGCCCCCAGGCTGCATACAAAAAAAAAAGCATATATACCCAACAAGGACCAACGACGTACTGGTACATCACTGGACCTTGAATGGTTAAGCAATCCTAGTAGCTAATTAGCTGCAGGATAGCTTTTACAAGCAGGAAGAGATGATGCCCCCCCTCCCCCTCTGCCTTCCATGGCCTTCTCTGGCAGTCCTGTGCCATCGGGGGGAACCTGAGAATGCAGCCGGTGTTTCAGCCAGCTTACTATAGAGCTGATTGGAGACTGGAATGGTGCCAATCATCTCTATAGTCTAAGAGACCGGAAGCTACGAGCATTTCATCACTTCAGTTTCACAGCATATAAAGAGTGCCATTTGTAAATTGGGAAAGCATCTGATCACACCGATCTTGGTGAGATTAATGTAATGGCAGAGGAGATATCTAGAGTCTGATAGACCCCAGATTTCTCAAAAAAGAATATATGACAATGCCCATTGAAGTTTTAGGGAATATTTTCATTCCATGTGATAGCATTAAAAAAAATGAAAGGGACAGTGTAGAAATATAAATAGAAATAATTTAAAAAAAGCAAAATAATTTACAAAAAAAAAGCACTCTTGCCCCAAACCCCCCCCCCCCCGTGCATGCACCTGCGTGAGCATTGACCCTGTGTCGGTATGTAAACAGCGGTTGCACCATGCATGTGAGGTATTGCCGAGAACGTCAGATCAAGGGCAGTAGTTCTAGCACTAGGCCTCTTCTGTAAATCTAAAATTGTAGCTTGTAAAGGCTTTTAAAGCGTTGCCTATGGATATTAAAAATGTATGCAGTTTGTCGCCATTGCACGGGACATGCACAGTTTTTTAAAGCATGTCTTGTTTGGTATCTATATACTTGGCATACCATCATCTTTTATATTTTACCAAATAATTGGCCAATATATTGTGTTTTTGTGCATTAAAAGTAAAAAAAGTGTATTTTTTTTTTAAATTTGCATTTGATAAATCGCTGCGCGAGTAATATGTGACATAAAAAATTTCAGCACCCACCATTTTATTCACTAGGGTGTCTGCTTTAAAACAATATATAATGTTTGGGGGTTCAAAGTAATTTCCTAGCAAAAAAAATACTGATTGTTTTCATGTGAACAAAAAGTGTCAGAAAAGGCTTGGTCTTCAGGTAATTAGAGAAGTGAATGTTGTGTGGCATAAACGTATATTTCCGGGCATAAAATGCCCCCACCCCCCAAAACGACCCCTTTTTGGAAAGTAGACACCCCAATCTATTTGCTGAGAGGCATGTTGAGTCAATAGAAGAATTTATTTTTTTACCACAAGTTTTTGGAAAATGACAAAAAAAATAATAATTTGTTTTTTTACACAAAATTGTCACTTAAATGATTTATTGCTCACACATGCCATGATTGTATGTGGAAATACTCCCCAAAATACATTCTGCTACTTCTCCCGAGTATGGGGGATAGGACATATGAGTGATGTTTTGGCAGTCTAGCCAAGTACAGGACCCCAAAATTCAAAAAAGCACCATCAGGCTTTTAAAGAGCTATATTTCCTCATTACACTTCCTGACTACCTATCACAGTTTCGGAGGCCCTGAAATACCAGGATAGCACCAAACCCCCCCAAATGACCCGTTTTTGGAAAGTAGACACCCCAAAGAAGTATGGTAAGAAGTATGGTGAATATTTTGCAGATCTCGTTTGTTGCCACAAGTTTTTGGAATATGAAGAAAGAAAACAAAAACATAGTTTTACTTTTCTTTTTTTAAATTTCAAAACTTGTGAGAAAAAAATGAGATCTGGAAAATACTCACCATGCCTCTTTTTAAATTCCTTGGGGTGTCTACTTTCCACAAAGGGGACATTTGGGAGGGGGTGGTTGGTGCTATCCTGGTGGGATTTTATGGCCTCCAAAACTGTGATAGGTAGTGAGGAAGTGAAATGAGGATGTTGCGCACCTTCAGGCTTTCAAAGTGCAAGGTGTGCGACTGCCCACCAAGAATTCACACATTCGCCTATAGAGTCCCTAGTATCCTTCCTGATGTGCTTCCAAATCCCGACTGGCAGCCCACAAATTCTGCAGCATCCGTACTTTCCCCATTCACTGCCCAACCCGGAATTCAGATGGAAACAGCAAATTTAACTACTCCCCTTGATTTTTTTAAACTGTTTTCATGGAAGATCTGTATGGATTGATTGTGGATCAAAGCAATTTATACGCACAACAATTTATCGCCGCCAACCCAAATTAAAACCTTGCCAGACCATTCGCATGGAACCCATTACGGTTTCCAAATTTTTTTCCCCAATCTATTTGCTGAGAGGCATGTTGAGACAATAGAAGAATTTATTTTTTTACCACAAGTTTTTGGAAAATGACAAAAAAAATAATAATTTGTTTTTTTACACAAAATTGTCACTTAAATGATTTATTGCTCACACATGCCATGATTGTATGTGGAAATACTCCCCAAAATACATTCTGCTACTTTTCCCGAGTATGGGGGATAGGACATGTGAGTGATGTTTTGGCAGTCTAGCCAAGTACAGGACCCCAAAATTCAAATAAGCACCATCAGGCTTTTAAAGAGCTATATTTCCTCATTACACTTCCTGACTACCTATCACAGTTTCAGAGGCCCTGAAATACCAGGATAGCACCAAACCCTGCCTAATGACCCGTTTTTGGAAAGTAGACACCCCAAAGAAGTATGGTAAGAAGTATGGTGAATATATTGCAGATCTCGTTTGTTGCCACAAGTTTTTGGAATATGAAGAAAGAAAACAAAAACATAGTTTTACTTTTCTTTTTTTAAATTTCAAAACTTGTGAGAAAAAAATGAGATCTGGAAAATACTCACCATGCCTCTTTTTAAATTCCTTGGGGTGTCTACTTTCCACAAAGGGGACATTTGGGGGGGGTGGTTGGTGCTATCCTGGTGGGATTTTATGGCCTCCGAAACTGTGATAGGTAGTGAGGAAGTGAAATGAGGATGTTACGCACCTTCAAGCTTTCAAAGTGTCATTGGATTTCAGGCTCCTGTATGTTGCTAGGCTCCCAAAAGTCTCACACATGTGGTATCCCCATACTCGGTAGAAGTAGAAGAATGTATTTTGTGGTGTAATTCCACATATACCCATGGCTTGTGTGAGATATATATAATTTAAATGACAACTTTGTGTAAAAAAAAAAATGTTTTTGTAATTTTCCAAAAACATATGGAAAAAAAATAAATCTTCCATGGACTCAATATGCCTCTCAGCTGATAGTTTAGGTGTCTACTTTCTGAAAAGGGGTAATTTGGGGGTGTTTGTACTGTCCTGGTAATTTAGCACCTCAAGAAATGTGATGGGCAGTCAGAAAGTAAAAGCTGTGTAAATTCCATTATCTATACCATAGTTTGTAGATGCTATAACTTTCACAAAAAGCAATCAATATACACTTCTTGGGATTTTTTTAACCAAAAATATGTAGCAGAATACATTTTTGCTTAAATGTATTACAAAATTTGAGTTTTGGGGATATATTTTATGACAGAAATGAGAAAATATTGTTTTTTATACAAAAAAAAAAGTTTCTAAATTTTTTTGTTTATAGCGCCAAAAATAAAAAGTGCACAGGTGATCAAATACCACTGAAATAAAGCCCTATTTGTGTGAAAAAAGGATGTAAATTTCATTTATGTACCGTATTGCATGACCGCGCAATTGTCAATTAAACCAGTGCAGCGCTGTATAGCAAAAAAATGGTGTAAATTGCAGTATCTATACCATAGTCTGTAGACGCTATAACTTTCACACAAAGCAATCAATATACACTTATTGGGATTTTTTTTCACCAAAAACATGCAGCAAAATACATTTTGGCCTAAATTTATGACTAACTTTGAGTTTACTATATATTTTTTATAGCGGGAAATAAAAAATATTGTTTTTCTTCAAAATTTTTAGTCTTTTTTTGTTTATAGCGTGAAAAATAAAAAGCACAAAGGTGATCAAATACCACCGAAAAAAAAAAACAATTTGTTTGAAAAAAAGGACATAAATTTTGTTTGGGTACAGCATTGCATGACCAGGCAATTATAAGTTGAAATAGTGCAGCGCCGGATAGCAAAAAGAGGCCTGGTCATTAAGGGGGGTAAATGCTCAGGATGGCAAGTGGTTAAAGAAACATCACAATGTAAGTGTCTATTTTCTGTAACCATGTTGCCATGCCAAATAAAATGCTGTTAAGTTATACTGTATATATATTGTGATATGGGGGTACTTAGCTCTCATGATAGGTGGCATGGTAGCCCACTTATATTAAAAGGAAACAGAAGAACAAAGTCTTTACAATATAGGGCTTCCCAAGCAGGGTGTTTCAGCTTCACACAAAACAAAAATTGCAGATCCACTTGCCTTTTAAGCTCACTTAGCTTTATTTTTAGTACCTTGTTGCATTAGCCTACTCTTAGCTCCTAGGTAAAGGCTCTCCTGATACCCCAGGTGCTCTAACTCCTCCAAGACTTACAGATTTCTCTGGCTCCCCTAGACTCTCTCCCAGTTGCATGAGCTCTAGTCTCCCAGATTCTCGCAGTCTGCCAGACTCTCTCAGTTGGCCCAACTCTCTTGGTTCAATGACCTGGAACCTCTCCCACATGGAGTGCTGTCTTGAGAATATTGCCTTGGTTTCTACACCTCCCACTGCAGTAACGGTCATCAAGTTTATATCATCCCCACACACCTGTACACTCATACAGGCTGCTGGCATTAGCAAAGCCTGGATACCAGATTGAAGCTTCTGTCCTGCCCAATACTCATTGGAACCTTCAAGCTCCTGTCTCTGATCCAGAACTGCCAAATCTGGAGAAGGCACAGAACGCCACTTTCTCCATTCACAATCAATCTGCCAGAGCTTCTCAGACTGAAACCTTGAGAATCCAGTGTCACTTTTATGCCCATTTACATAGTGGCAGGGTTTCACACAGTCACAATACACACACACAAAAAACAGTCAGTGTGAATAATCTTACACACCCCATCTTCAGTTACAGTGAGATCATTTTGGATTCCTATATAATAATATCAACAGTTGCTTCCTCCATAAATTGTAATCTTTGCTCCAGTGCAATGTGAACTGTGTACATTTAGTATTAAATGGGCATGTAATTTTCAGATAGATCTGTGGGGTGCAGGGGCGGACTGACAACTCATGGGGCCCCTGGGCAATAGGGGATTATGGGGCCCCTGTGTCCTTGCCCAAACTCAAAACAGCCTATGAAAAAGGTACCAGGGGCATCGCATGGGGCCCCCTACTGACCCCAGGCCCTCGGGCATTGCCCGAGTTTCCAAATGGTCAGTCCGCCCCTGGTGGGGTGGCTATGTGGTTGGAAACACTCTGATTTGTGTTTATTTGCTATGGAAACTGTTTACGAAACATTTATTCTAGTCCAGTTTAAATTAGTGAAGTTAGGAGGCACTGCTATCATGAGTATCTGTCACGGATATGAAATGTAAGTATGCTGTGAAACAGGTGTGACCAGAAATGTGTGGACTTGCATAGAAAATACCAGGCCCCAGTATAACGTAAAATAATGTAATTTATTAAGAATAAGCGAATAGCAAAAATATGAATGAACCTCCAATATATCAGAACTGCATAAATCAAACCAACGAATCTAATAAGTGAGTGAACAAACAACAAACAACTGCCCAAACCAAATATAAACAGATAGCGTAGTTGGTGTCAAAGCCAGGGTCATACATGGGAGATCAGGCAGAGGGAGCAGGAAGCAAGCCAGGACAGGGAGAGGGTAAACAGGAGAAGGAACAAACAGGCAGGTAAGGGATCAGACTGCAGGATCAGGATACAGGGTCAGGGTACAAGGTCAGAAGCAGGATCAGATGCAGGAACACAGGTCAGGGGCACATGGACAAATGGCAAGGCAAAAAGGAGAATCACAGGCAAGGTTTATATACACTTCCTGCAACAAACATGACTGCTGAGAGACACCCACTGGTGGACACCGAAATTGCAGCCTATAGATCTGATAGCCACAGTGCCACTAGCAGGTGAACCCCTTCCTGACAGTTCCCCCCCTCTAGGGAGCGGCCTCCGAACTCTCTAGCCAGCCTTAGCTGAACAAGTCCATAAAAGATTACCATCTGTTTTCAAGAGAAAAAGTTCCTCATAAGCTGAGGAATTGCAGGGTTCCAAGTGAGATGCCTTTGTGCCAAGGTCAATTAATAGGCAAAGTGTCCCACCGCCTGGGTCAGGTGACTGACTGGGTCTTGCAACCGGCTGGGTGTCATGTTGGTCAGATTCTCAGAGAGGTACAATATCCAATACTCCGAGTCCCTCAAAACAACAGGTACCCTAATGTTGGGGTCCCACGGGTTATCCGCAAACTTTGACCTGGAGTGATGTGACAATACCAGACATTTGACACCGAAATGTCTTGTCATAACCATGTAGCTTGCCTGATTTCCAGGACTTGCTCTGCACATCAACAGCCACCTTGGTCTCTTCAAGGCACTGGTTACCTAACCCGGGTCACCTAGTGCCCCCAGAGTCATGGCAACCACATCCAGATCATGACAAGGCAAAAATGGTACGCTGCCATTCCCCAGAAGCTCACCACTACCAAGGGCCATGAAGGCATATGCAGGTACCAGTTACAGGTGTTATATCTGGACCACCAGGCTTTGGAGTCCTAGCAGCACAGCCAGAGGGACTCAGCTAGGGCAACTGTAAAAAAAAAACTCACACCATGCAGGTAACTCATATAAGGCACATGAACGCACATTAGCAGGTGGACACTTAACCTTTGCACTAAAGTCCAGCTGAGCATCAGTCATAGAACTAATGGAGTCTAGCTGGGCATTAGAAACAAAGTCAGTAAAACCCGGCTGGGTGGCAGACAGTGGATTAATAAGATCAGACTGGCCATCAGGCAGAGGATCAGAGGCAGGCTGGACACCAAGCATGGGACCATCAGGCTGGACATCTGGAAATGGATCATCAGAAGCAGGCTGGACATCAGGCAGCAGAACATCAGAGCAGGCGGGTCATTGGATAGCAGACCATCAGAGGCAGGTAGGACATCGGGCACAGGACCATCAGAGGCAGTTGCAGGAGGGGCATCGGGCACAGGACCCTCTGGCTTGACATCAGGCACAGGACCCTCTGGCTGGGTATCAGGCACATGACCCTTCAGCTGGGGAGCGGGACCACCAGGCTGGACATCAGGAACAGGACCCTCAGGCTGATAAGCAGACACAGGACCACCAAACTGGGTAACAGGCACAGGAGCATCAGAGGTAAGCTTGGCAAAGGATAGCAGGTCACTGGAGGCAGATTTGGCAGCAGGCTGAACCCCCATCGGTAAACATAGAGGCAGACTGAATCACATCAGCAAGCAGCATGGAGGAAAATTGGGCCCCATCAGCAGGTAGCAGACCATTAGGCTGAGCAATGGTCAGGGGATCAGTGAGGTCAGGTTGATTAGGAAGCAAAGAGTCAAACTGGACAGTGGACAGAGAACCAGTAACACCAGGCTGGATAGTAGGTAACATATCATTGAAGTTCAGATGGGTAGCTGGAATACAGGCTGGATGCAGGGTGGCTTGGAGAAAATGATGAGGGCCCCACCTGGCCAAATGAGGCAGTCTGTCCAAAGGATGGATGGAATGTCTTAGACAGGTTGGAACAGTGGCATCTGCAGTAGAGTGAGGCCAGGTTATTGAAAGTCCCAAATGTGAAAAATTAGAAGGCTCTGCTGACATGGACTGAACTGGAGTAACGGGCATGGTGGCAGACTGGAGCAGATCGGCTGGCATAGAGGCAAGCTGGAGGAGATCGACTGGCATAGAGGCAGGTGTGGATAGTGACAGAATTATGTGCATTGGGAAAAACATCAGTTTTTTCTTGGGTTTAGCCACTGATGTTTTGCATGTGATTACAGGGCTGTGAGCAGGAGGTGCAGCTGA